AACCACTACACTACCAGGCCTTCCACCTTCAAGATGGCGGGTCGGGTAGACGTGTAGTGAGGAGCTCGGTCAACAACAACACGGAACACCGGGCCAAGAGGGCTCATGAGATGGTGTTGGAATGCTGGAACAGAACCACTAGAGCACCTTAAATATAAATTCTTTATTGTTGCTCAGTGCAGTCAAGTTGGTTCCGACTCACAACAACCCTGTATAGGGTTTCCTGGGAGTGACTGGTGGGTTTGAACCTTACGGTTAGTAATCCACTGCTTATCTTACAGCGGCACTACATCAGGACACTGAATTTAAATCACAACCCTGTATAACTGAATGTTGTTGTTGTTAAGTGCCGTCAAGTTGGTTCCGACTCATAGTGACCCTGTAGAGGGTTTCCGAGACTGTAAATCTTTACGGGAGCAGAACGCCTCATCTTTCTCCTGCGGAGCAACTGGTAGTTTCGAACTGCTGATCTTGCGGTTCGCAATCCAATTCGTAACCACTACGCTACCAAAGTATAGTCACTATTAACATCAGTTCCCACCATCCCCAAGGGAGACCTGGACCTTCTTCCTCTCGTCTCCATAAGGAGGAAACACCCTCATGTTCCGGGAGTGGACCCTTCAGTCAGGGGACCAACCGCCTCACCCTGGCATGGAGTTGGCTGGAGGATGACCTCGCTCCCTCACCATCTGGTCCCCCACCAACCCCTCCAGTGGTCAACCCCAACAGGATGGGCCAGGGAGCAAGGGGGCTGGGGGAAGCCATCTAGAGGGCTGCTTGTTGGGGTGCACATAGAAGGGGCACAAGGGAGCCAGCTTCCAATGGCTGTTCCCGGATTACAGCCACATAGTCGGCCCATGAGCATAGGGGCGGGGGTCTCTGCACCTCTGATCCTGTGCGGTGTTACAGGAGTCTCCAGTCTACCTGGAATCCAGGTGTGTGTGGTGGAGGGGTCTCTGCACCCCTAACCCTGTGTGTGTTACAGGGTCTCCCCCCTGTGTACCTGGAGTCCAGCAAGTGTGTGTAGTTGGGGGCGGGGTGTCTCTGCACCGCTCACCCTCTGTATCTGCTGCAGGATTCCCCCTGTCTACCTGGAGTCCAGGTGTGTGTTGTGGGGGCCTTTGCTCCCCTAACCCTGTGTGTGTTACAGGGTCCCCCCCTCCCCCCCCACCTACCTGGAGTCCAGGTGTGTGTTGTGGGGGCCTTTGCTCCCCTAACCCTGTGTGTGTTACAGGGTCCCCCCCTCCCCCCCCACCTACCTGGAGTCCAGGTGTGTGCGGTGTGGGGAGGTCTCTGCACCTCTCACCCTCTGTATCCGCTGCTGGATTCCCCCCTCCCCCCATCTACCTGGAGTCCAGCAGGTGTGTGCGGCAGGAGGGTCTCTGCGCCCCTCACCCTCTGTATCCGTTGCAGGACCCTGAGAGGCAGTACCTGCACATCGGCACCATGGTGGAGTTCGCGTTCGCGCTGGTGGCCAAGTTGGAGGCCATCAACAAGCATTCCTTCAATGACTTCAAACTCCGAGTGGGTACGTGACGCGGGTGGGCGGAGTCTCGGATCCAGGGGAGCCTGGGAGGGAGGGGGCACGTCTGTAACCCTCCCCCTCACACACAGAGCAGAGCTCGGGAGTGCGCTGCGGGGGCTTTGGCACACGTTAGGAAAGGTCCAAGGTGTCCTGCTGGTGCTGTCGTTAAGCGCTCACCTGTTAAGGAAGAGGTTGGCAGTTCAAGCCCAGCTGCCGGACAGGAGTGGGGCAGTCTGCTGCCATCCATCTCAGAGGCTCCGTGGGGCAGTTCGCTGCCCCCCAGGCCTGCTATGAGGTGGAATCATTTCTAAGAGCTGTAATAAGTAGTGCAGTGGTTAAGTGCTCACCTGCCAAGCACAAGGTTGGAGGTTCAAACTCATCAGCCTCTCAGCTGGAGGAAGATGAGACTGGCTGGCTGCGTCTGTAAAGATAGGGCAGTTCTTTTTCTGTAGGGCCGCTGTGATTCGATGGCAGTGGGAGATGGCCGCGGGTGGTAGGCACTGGTGTGTCCACAGGGCAGGGGCTGAACGTGGGTCCTTCCGAAGCCACCTGTGGTTCCAGTAATGTATCCCATCAGCTAAGAGCCATTCCCTTTATGGACCATAGCAAATGGGCTAAGGACCGAGCCCTCGGCTGTAAGCTGCACCCGGCTGTCAGAGGTCGAAAGCTGTGAGGGGAAAACGTGCGTCTTGAAATCATTGAAATACAGGCACAGACCCGCTCCTGGGGGAGGGCCTACAGGGTCACCAAACACGTGTCCGAGGTCCTGAAGTAATCATAAGTTTTCCAATCCGGTGTCCGAATTGGAGGCTCCTGGACAATGAATGCAAGCAGTGAACAAACGCCAATGTTGAAGGTTCTAGTCTACCCAGAAGTACCTAGGAAGCAAGACCTGGCAATCTGTTGTTTTTTAAGTTGTTGAAAACCCTAGAGTGCAGTTCTCCTCCGTACCCACATGGGGCCTCCAGGAATGGAAGATACTAGGTGGTTTGGGTTTTTTAGTTACTTGCCTTTTACAAATTTTTATTTAAAAAAAAGAAAAAAATGTTTGAAAGCATTGGGCAAGCCAGCACTGCACTTGTAGTCCAGGCTTTTCCTGGTACACATCTGCCTTCTTCTGAGCCTAAGTCCCAAGGAAAGTCGTGTTCTTAACCAGTTCTATCAGGCTGGTTTTGCACATTGATTTGCATCCTGATTCCAAGTTGTAAACAGTGTTGGCATTCCACAGTATTCCTTTCCTTGGGCTGCGTGTGTTCTGAATTCAGAAATGCAGAAACAGTTTACATCCCTTAGCAGATGAAATGTTCTCTGTCTCGGCTGCTGTCAGCATCCTTAACTTATTTCCCTGTTTCCTCCACTCGGTGCACAGCGACCACTCGGGTGGTCCACCCACCCTGAGGGACCAGGCATGCAGGACGCCCCTGGGAGCTAGCTTTCAGATCCAACCTGGCAGGGGGAACGGAAGCCGGCAGGCCCTTTCCCACCTTTTATTTGTAATTCTTGCTTCTCATCTATAAACATATAGAGCCGCCCTGGTGGCGCCGTGGTTAAGACGCTGTGCTGGAGAAAGATGAGAGTCTGTCCCGTAAAGCTGACAGCCTTGAAGCCTTGGGGGATGGTTCTGTGTCCTAACAGTGTTGTTAGTTTATAAACGCCTACTGGCTAAGACAATAACGCCTCAGTGTTTCAGCCACACGCCGATGAGAGTGAGCATGAGCGGCGCTCCGGCGGTCCTTACCGAGTGCCTGCCTCCCTCCCTTAGCTAGCGAGCGCCTGAGAAGCCGCAAACAGCCTGTCCGGGAGGCTGCGTCCCTTGGGCGCCCTCTGCTGGCCTTTGCAGGTGAGCACGCAGAAGAGGGACGCTGCCAAGCAGGATGGTGTGAAGATGAATGTGGGACCCCCCACCTGCACCAAGCCGGATTGCCCATCGTCCTGGACCTTCCGTGCAGGGTCCGCCCGCCCCGCAGCGGGTGACCCTGTGCAGTCGCAGACGCAGCTGGAAGAAACACTGTTGGCAGGAGGGGCTGACCCCTGGCGGTGGAGCCCAGGGGCAAAGTTGGGATCCGGAGCGTCCCTCCTGGTAGAGCACTTAGGCTCAGCCTCTGTGCCCCGCGGGGGACTGTGGGGACAATGTTGGAGCTGCCTGGCCTGGCTGCTCACCACTACGGGGAGCCGTACCTGGACCCCATCACAGAAACTGGTGCTGAAAGCGGTCAGAAGTGGGGGTGTCATGCCAGAGACATCCTCAGCAGTCTAAGGTCTGTGACCCCGCAGACACTAAAAGAAATACAAACCCCAAAGCACGGACATCAAGTCCATGTCCACTCCTCGCAGCCCTGTAGGTCAAAGCAGAACTGGTCCTTAGGATTTCTGAGCTGAATGTCTTCATGGAAGCAGACAAGACACATCTCCTTTCCCAAAGTAGCTGGTGGATTTGATCCAGCTACTTAGTGAGTAGCTGAGCACTTTAACCACTGCTGCATCTGGTTCCTTTCAGGAGGGGCTCTGGGGGTGGGGATTTTTGAAGTCTTTCCATATGCCTACTTGTGTCTCTACGTACACCTCCCCTTGAGGTACATATCCGTGGTCACTGTGTACACGTGTAGTTACTGATGATCTGAACCCTCACAGCTCCTGTCCCTGTCAATGAAGGGACCTATGATGCTGCGTACCCCAGGTTTCCATCTGAACCCCTGCCGTCTCCCAGCACACCCCACACTCAGGCGCTCTGTGGCCACCTTCTAGTCTCCTTGGCCATCGATGCACCTGAGGCAATTCACACACCAGAGCCCTGGGTTTCCTGACTCCACAGTGCTGAGCGGATGAGCCCAACTTCCAGGCACCAAGGACCCACAGGGGAAGCGGAAATGTGCGGAGCCCTGTTGTACAAGTTGGCCCTCTGTTGGTCTCCTAGCGACCCCTGCATGTGCCGGTTTTCAGGGACCACCCCTCCTGCCTGGTTCCACCTATACTCCAGATAGCAGCCTCTCCTGAGTCCACATCTGAGTCAGGGAATCTGCCTCTCCCAACTCCACAAATCCTTCAGGGGCCTCCCCCTTTCCCCGACTCCACCACTACTTCAAAGAGACCCACCTCCTGACTCCACCTTTACTGCAGGGACCCCCCCCCCATCCTGACTATGTCTACTTCACAGGGAACCCCCTTCCTGAATCCACAGGATCCCTCCATCCTGAGTCCACATCTGAGTCAGAGACCCCCACCTCATAAATCACATCATAGTTAGGGACCCTCTTCCTCCTGGCTCCATGTTTGAGTCAGGGACCCCCATGTCTGAGTCAGGGGCCCCCTTGGAATAATGCTAAATGGATCTGTAAACACGCATGATAGCGTAGCAGACAGAAGAGTTGTCAAAATTAAAACACTTGAATATTTTTGAAGAAATAAAGTTGTAGAAATTAGAACTCCATGGTTTGGGCCAATGTGTGTATAAAATAAGGATTCAAGAATGGAGTTTCAACTTTCTATCTAAGTGTATGTATGGACCTCACTGACTACAGAACCTGGGGGTTCAGATGGGAAGTTTCAGAGGCTGCAAGTTGATGTGTGTGGTGGAGGAGAAGTAGGGTGAGGTGGGTTACACACCCTGAAAGCTGTAGTCACAATGCTTGTCCAAACAGATTAGTGTGCTAACTGATAACAGTAAAGGAAAACTATGATAAAGAAATGTGGTCAATACACAGTGGTGGTTGTTAAGTGCAGTGGAGTGGGTTCCAACTCATAGTGACCCTCATAGGGTTTCCAAGGAGTGGCGGGTGAGTTTAAACTCCTAACCTTGTGGTTCAAATTGACCATGTGGTCAGTGCTTATCCTAGAGTGCCACAGCAGGACTCTGATCAGGGCATCAGGAAAGAGGTAAGAAAATGAGCAGGTTCTGTTTAAAATGCTGCTGCAGCTGTTCTTGCTGACCCGATGGTGATCTGTTACAGGCATCAACCACGGACCGGTCATCGCTGGTGTCATCGGCGCACAGAAACCACAGTACGATATCTGGGGCAACACGGTCAATGTGGCCAGCCGCATGGACAGCACGGGCGTCCTGGACAAAATCCAGGTAGCGTGCTCTGTTCCCCATCGTCCACAGTCCCTCTCTTAGAAGCCACACACATGCAGGACTGTCGGACTCACAGCAGCAGAGCAAAGCAGAGGGAGACAGCTGATGGAAACCTTGTTGTTATTAGGGGAAATCAAGTCAGCACTGACGCAAAGTGACCCTACACACAACAGAACGAAACACTGCCCGGTCCTAGACCAACCTCACAACTGAAGCTCCATTTCAGCCCATTGATGCTGCCACTTTGCCAATCCGTCTCGCTGGGGCTCTTCCTCTTTTTCTCTGACCCTCCACCCTACCAAACATGATATCCTTCTCCAGCAACTGGTCCCTCCTGACTATACATCGCAAGTATGAGAGACGAAGTTTGGCCATCTTGGCCTCCAAGGAACACTCTGGCTGTACTTCTTCCAACACAGATCTGTTGGTTCTTATGGGAGCCCATGGCACTTTCAGTATTCTCCTCCAGCACCATAACTCAAAAGCATCAATTCTTCTACAATCTTCCTTATTCACTGTCCAGCTTTCACATGCATGTGAGGTTATTGAAAATACCATGGCTTGCGTCAAGCGCACCTTAGTCCTCAAGCTGACATCTTTGCTCTTCAACATGTTAAAAAGGTCTTGTGCAGCAGATTTGCCTAATGCAATACGTCGTTTGATCTCTTGACTGCTGCTTCCATGAGTATTGACAGTTGATCCAAGAAGCATGAAGTCCTTGACAACTTCAATCTTTTCTCCATTGATAAAGATGTTGTTTATTGATCCAGTGATGAGGATTTTTGTTTTCTTTACATTGAGATGCAATCCATGCCGAAGGCTGTGCTCTTTGATCTTCATCAGTAAATTTTAACTCCTCTTCATTTTCAGCCAGCAAAGTTGTATCATCTGCATATCGCAGGTTGTTAATGAGCCTTCCTCCAATCCTGATGCCACGTTTATCTTCAGATAACCCAGCTTCTCGGATTATTTGCTCAGCGTACTGATTAGATAAGTATGGTGAAAGCATACAGTCCAGGTGCACGCGTTTCTTAATTTGAAACCATCAGTGTTCCCATGTTCTGTTTGAACAACTGCCTCTT